CAGGGTACCCCTAGTACTGGTATGCAAAATTTTTCTGCTGCTGTATGTGGTATATTAGGCAGATATTATTCATTAGGTGTGATTTATCAGGAATTAGTCATGGTTTTAATTTTAACTCTTTGATGTTATTGGTATGTTTAGTGTAACTTCAGTCAAAGACATTTCAGCCAGTTTCTGATTTTTCAACATTTGGATTTTTTTCCGCAAATTAACTCCTTTCACAATTATTGAGTGAATAAATGAGAAAATGAAAGAGCCAACTAGTTTCAAGTGTGATTTTTTGGTTGTATTTTTTTCCACCTATTATGGGAGACATCCATTCAGATTTAATTTACTGTCAAGTGACGGAAAATTCAGTTGATGTGCTTAAATTGTGCATAGTTACAGTGTTGAACTATCTTAGTGGCTGCTAAACCCTAAAAGAATGATTTGTGCGGTGCTTTCATCTTGCACAGTGATCTTGAAATACTTTGAAGCTGAACTAGGAATGCCCTGGCACAAGTACGTAGGGATTTCCAAGGAGAGACATGACATTTTCCATGGCCACCTAAGCTGTCTACATTTTAAGAAACAGCAGTTACAGAATACTTAGTTTTCATGCTCATCATCTTTTCAGTGTTCTAACACTTGCAGTTGAAATTTTCCACTTTTGTGAACGAGTAAGCGTTCTTTGAAAGTTCATGTAAAATTTTAGTGGTTTGTATGATAAAATATTCAAAATCGATTTGATGTGGAAAATATACTCTGTGGAGATCATGAATATTTACATTTAAACCTTTGAAACTTGAAAAATGTTAGAGCTGCTGTAAAATTTTCATCACCACAAACGCGTGTAACTTACTTCACTGCAGCTGACAGTCATCTGTAACACAGAATTAAACCCTGGCATATCTTTGTGAAAATTTTCCACTTTCCATGCTGTACTACAAGACTTTTCCAAAGAGCGTTCATTCTTCCTGTGCACTTAGGGATACATAAGGTATTGTGCCACATGTAGTTTGAGTGGGGTGGTTTCATATAGCTCGCTTTTTTCTGAAGGTGTAGCTGTGTCTAGAGGAACTGGATTTCTTTTTTCCTGGCCTATTGTCCATGCACTGGAAGATCATCCAGAAGTTCATTTTGGTAAAGGTACGCAAGTATTTCTTGCCATCAAGTTAGAGAGTTTGACCATTCTTGTGCTCTGAGGGTCTCTGTGTTGTGTATCGGGCATGTGATAGCTGATGTGCCCAATACATCCTGGGTCTTCTTGATTCCCACTTGAACTGAGACGGAGCAACTTGCTGCTGTGTGCTCTCTCATGCTGTGAGTGAACTGTCTGTTTCTGCCCTATCCAGCTGAAGTACCCTGCTTGCTGCTCTTGGTAGCTAGCAATCCTGAAGTGACTGCCACTTCACGAATTGTTGGTGTCACCTGTATGCTGGGAATGGCTGTTCAAGTAAGGAATAGTGCTGGAATCCAGCAACTGAAAGAATATCATTTTGGTTCCAGAATGAGTCAGAAAATAGACTAAGCACTCTTGCACACACTTAAGAGAGTGGCTGTAGTAGAACTCTTCCATTTCCAAGTTACAGCCTTTAGGCTGTGCCAGAGAGAGCAGTTGTCCAGGGAAGCTGTGGATGCCCCATCCCTGGCTGTGTTCAAAGCCAGGCTCGATGGGTTTTTGAGCAACCTGGTCCTGTAGAAGGTGTTCCTGCCCATGGCAAGGGGTTGGAACTAGATGAACTTTAAAGGTCCCTTCCAACCCAAACCATCCTGTGATTCTATGATTCTTCTTGGTCAGGCAGGCTGTGCTGAAGACAGTGAAAATGCAGTGCTGGTGTCTATCAGCTACACAGGAGAACAAATCCAATACGGAGGGGGCTAGACATCTGCCCCTCATTCTGTCCTACATGTTTCCTTTTGTAAAGTAACCTCGCTTCTCCTCAACTTTCATCTTCCTCCTGAACCTCCTGGTCTGGAAGCTTGAGTACGCCATGGAGTTGAGGATTCAGGACTGGAGCACACCACAGGGAAGTTGGTGCTTTACCAATGTTTCAGCTTACTCACATGTCCAAATAGCATCAGCTTCACTTAGAGTCCTTTCAGTGGACATGACCTGGGTTAGGGAAAACAGCTACTTTTTATTACAATACGAAAGGGTATGAGGAGAAATCTCAGCTGTAAGAGGTGGAGAATTTTTGAAGTGTATTAGGAAGCTGTGCTAATGAAATCTGTTGGGGTTACTGATGTAATTTGCTAGTCATAACACAGAAAATTGGCCAGGTTGTTGGACAATTAAGCCATTCAATAGTTACTGTCTCACAGTGTTGGTAGCATAGGCATTCTGCTAGTAATAACTTCAGGATGTTGATTAACAGCTATTGAAGACAAGCTCTACACACTAATTAAAATTGAAGATTTTCAAATCAGCAAGTCTGAACAATTTGCATTCAACAGATTTAAAAGAGCTTTCTAAGAAACTCTTATCAACAGTTGCCGTTGAGATTTTTAACCATTTTTGAGCACGGCAGTTCTACACTGAAAAAGCAAATGATCTGCCAGTATTTGAGAGGTGAATTGGGTAGCCCATGTATTTAAAAACTAAAAGGGACTGTACAAAAACCAATAAAACATAAGACTTGGAAGTCAATCAGATAAAAAATTAAGGGAGAGTAATATAATACTAATGAATGTGGGTGGAGGGAGAATGAGTGTGCCAGATTTTTTCTGCTTTTTTTTGATTACAGTTTGTTCGGCAGAGCAGGTGATGCTTTTTTCTATTAAATCTTTCAGTACGTCTCATTTGTCATTTTGAATTAGAATACATACTGTATTGGTTTGCCATTCATCTAACTGTACAGAAATTATCTGCAGGCTTCAAACTGGCAAATGTTAAGCAAAGAACTATCACTAAAATGTTGCTGCGATTTGGTTCTTGGTCCTATTTATTTTTAGTCAGTGATCAAGGAGATAATTCCTGATGAAGTTTGGAGATGATACAGGCTGAGGATGTAATCAGGAGGAGATACAATGCTGATAAACAAACATTTCATAGAATCATAGAATGGTTAGGGTTGAAAAGGACCTCAAGATCATCTAGTTCCAATCCCTCTGCCATGGGCAGGGATGCCTCACACTAGACCATGTCACCCAAGGCTCTAGATAGTTGGTTAGGATCACATTTTAATGTGACCAAATATAAGGTTTATATATGCAGAAATACACTGTAGATGGGGCTTGCAGTACATGTGTTTGCAGGATGGTTAGGGCAGAGGCTCTGTCCTACAACTGAACATGAAGTCGTTGTTCTGAGCAGTGGTCAGTAAAACACGTGTACCGTATATCTTTAGATGCCTAAATCAGGGAGTTCCAAGTGAAGACCAGGTGATCTGGTTCTCCAGCTGCTTAGCTACAAGGGAAGGAATGTCTGAGAAGGGCACCAGCTTTGAGGCTGCCCTTTGAATGGACGAGAGATGCCATAAAATGACTCTGGTCTGGAAGATCAGAGCTGAAGTCTAGCATAGGAAAGGTCTGCTCCTTGTCCAGCCATTACATGCAATAGCCAGGGAAGGTGCACAGCAGTATAAGTGGGCATCGGGAACTACTGGGCCTTCTGACTTGCATGCTGGGAAGCAACAGCCCAACTTCCACCTACTGAGGAGCTGGAGGCACACATGCCCATAGCCTGTCCTTACTGTACTTTCTTCCAGTTTTTCCTGCTGCCTGGGAATTGTGTGTCCTCAGGCAGGTCTTCATCTCCTCCTTTACTGGCACTGCTCACAAAGAGCAGGAGCTGGCAAACTCCAGCTGCTGTCTTACATGCTGTCAATTCTGGCTGTGAGAGACAATGTCTCAGGAGAGACGTTAATGAACCGAACTTTCTCAGGCCAATAAGAACAATTAAGAAGCTGAAAAGTAGGCCTCATGGAAAATTTAGGAAAATGCTGTTTTTATTAGGCTCGATAAAGGTGGAGAGTACATAAGTGCTTGAATGGGAAGAAATGCTTTCGTAGCAGGCTCTTCAACTTTGCAGTCAATGGTCTAACAAGACCTGGTGGCTAGAAGTTGGAGGTGGGCACAGTCAGACTAGAAAACTTACCTCATTAAAATCTCCAATCCAGTCCATTTCACTCTCTCTCTTTCTCTAAACCCCTCAACACCCTATCAAACAAAAAAAAAACAACCCAAAACAACACAACCCCTTTTAGACTGTCTTCTCACAATTCTAGTAGATTTCCCCAGTGCTTCTTTATTAAGATTGCCTTAAGCCTTTTAACCAGATTCTGTTCGTTTGATGATGATTGTCAGTAGGATTTGAAGCTGGAATTGGCATCTCCCCAACACATCTCCCTATCATCTCACAAAAGAGTCAACATTTGAAATTCCTTAATAAATTGGCACGGGGGCATTCAGGCAGGGAGGTTGGCGTAAGCATGCATTTGGCAGCTAATGATGAAGCTGAGGGTTATGTAGACCACAGCCCATCCAGAGCTGCACTTAGAGTGTACTTGTACCTGCCACCTCACATAAGGCAACTGAGAGCATAAGACACTTGGGAAGATGTCTTTTTTCCCTTCTAATGGTCATTGTTAGTCTTTCAGACCTATTCATTTATCTTGTATGATCTGTTTTGAGTAGGCCTTTTTAACAGGGAATTGCCACTTCCGTGCCTTATTCATCCTTCTGCTCCTAGGCTGATGTGACTATGGAAACATCAAGGCAGACATGTAGCACTTCAGATGTCTTTTCACTGCAGCTCTGGTCCTGCAACAAGTGAAGACAGACCCAAGTCTTTGAATTTGAGTTTGGTGTGTGAGAGCTAATTAGTCTGCAAAGGGAGTAATACCCATGCTCCCAATCTACAGTCATGCATCTAGAGGTTTGCATGCATCGTTGCAGATTTATTCTGGTATGCTCTCTGGATGTGTTAAAATCCCCAAGAGAGTCCAGGGAAAGTGGGACATAAACCTTGGCTTTTGGAGAGTGGATGAGCTTTGACAGCAGACTAGCTTAGTTGCAAGATGTTCTTGGAGATTCTGGACAGCCTTGTACTGTCAAGCGACTGGAACATTAAAAGCCAAATCTGGATCAGTGGTAATTAAAAGAGGGTATTAGCCAAGACATCAAAGATGAGATATTGCTAAGGGTAAGCATATTTAATTGGCAGGTTCATTTCCTAAATAGTTGGTGTGAGGGAGCTATCTGGTTCACTGATCTTGATTCTTAAAACTTAAGAATAACTTGAAAATTAAGCAAGGTGCAGAGAGATTCACAGCAGCAAGTTGGTGTTCAGACAGCTGGGCTGGGTGGCTGAGATGATTAGAGGCTAGTTAGCCTTGAACCTGTACTACAGAAACTAGTAGGAAAATTGTCATGGAGTTCAAGAGGTAGAACAGATCAAAATATAATGAATGCTAGCAAACATGGCTTTGTATGAAGTTTTTTTGGTCAAACAAACTGAATTTTGTTTATTTTGGAGATCATGAGTTTAAAGTAACAGCATGTTTGCAGCCTGTTTAGTGTTTTGTAGTATAGCACATAATTTAAAACCTTGTGACATTCTGATTTATGTCCAAAAAGAAAAATAGCAAACACAGAACAAGATTAAAAACTGGCTGACGCTTATCAGAAACTAATTATGAGGAGGCCGCTTGGGCTGCAGTTTGAAGGGCTTCCTCCAGGATTAGCAAAAGGACAGTGTCCTTTAGTGTCATAATGCTAGGCAGACAGTAAAAACGACAGGACTGTCATGGTGTGACTGGGATCCTTAATTCACAGAATTTGTTTAAAGACAATGCATTTTAACCAAGCAAAAGGTAATTATACACCTAGGAACAGGGAATGCAGTGCCCATGAATAAAATGTGAGGCTTAGAGAAGACCTAAAATAGTTGTGTTAGCAGTAAAATAGCCAGTCAGCTCTGTCAACACCCAGAGCTTGATTTTTAGAGACAGATTGGTCTTAACCCAGTTTTAGCCATGTAAACATGACGCACAGTCATGGGACATAGACAGACGCCCCACAAAAAAATCCCCCAAACCATAAAAACCCCACCAGCACAGGGCAGATCTTTGAATCTTAAGAGATGAGACTACTTTTTCCTCTGACAGTCTCCATTTCTCCCTCTCTCAGCTGAATTCAGATATTTTGCTGAGTAACCTTGAGATGGCTGAAGTGAAGTAAGAAAAATGCCAGCTCCTGTATCTGTTATTTTACCTCTGTATATGGTAATTTATGATATTTTATCTCTGGTCATGGTAAGGCCAGTACAATAGCATTATATCTATCTTCTGGTCTCTATATTCTGAAACCATCATTGCAAGGTTGTACAAGGAGACCCAAAACTGATTTAAATGTAGTGTAAATGCTTTGTGGTGAGATAATGCAGGACTTGAATTACTTCATTTATTGAAAAGACGATTGAGAAGTGACTTGATTACAGTGTCTAAGTACTTTCAAAGGGAGATAACACCAGGTACTAGAAGGCTCTTTAGCATAGTATAGAAAGCCATAAGAAGAATCAACTGCTATAAGCTGAATGCAAATTCGTATTAGAAATTAAGCAATATTAGTACCACTTTCAGCCACAAATAAGTTAGTAGGTTCTGTACAGAAAAAAGAGGATAAAATTTATTTATCTGTAATACGCAGGAGGTCAGGCAAATTTGCCCAGTTGTTTTTCCTGACCATAAACCTTAGGAATCAGCAAAACATTTCATCCAAAACTACCTGGAAAAGTATGGCTTTCTTACTCTTTTCAAGGATTTAGTTTAAATCAAACCCAGAAATTTTAGATTAAATCATTTTAAAATACATGGTCTCGAAGTAATCACTCTGTGCATTATTCAGGGAGAGCAGACTTTGATTTCCAGGTGTAATAATATTTCAGTCAATGTTAAAATCAGCAGTGTCCCAGTGTGCCTTGTGTTACTTTGATTCAATACTTCTAAGCATTTCTGTTAGCTTCTGTGACATTGCCAGCTGAAGGTGGCAAGTGACAGTGTAGTACCTTACACTAATAACAAGATGAGACTCTGTTGGAAGGACATTTTAAATAGTGAGAGCTAATCAAGCCATTAAAGCTCATCCTTTCTTGGTGTGCAGGGCTGTTCTAAAGGTGTTGGTTTAACATATATTACACTGGCTATGCCCAAAAGCGATGGATAAATTGCCACACACACATATTATGCTCTAGAACATCATAGTAGAAAAGCAGGTATTTGGCCACCATCACTCCTCTCTTCCTTTCTACATCAAGTTACTTCTAATTTTTAGGGTTTTCCACCTTTGCAGAGTAGGCTGGTACTGTTGTATCACTCTATTAGTCGTCTTTGCTTTAGGTGTTCACATTGAATTATAGAGTGACTGTGTTACAGTGAATGTACAGAGGGAAGTATTAACTAAAACTCAGTATCTGATTGCCTAGATTATTACTGCAAGCTTTTATTTCTTTTCCCCAAGTGTTAGCATATGCAGTATTATTACTCTGTTGCATTGCGCTCCTTTAGTGAACAGTTTGGGTTTTTTTTATTGTGATAAGGTGAAAATAAGTTACTCTTTTTCTGATGATAGGAATAAAATTAGCTCTCATTTTCTCTTCCACTAGTTTTGATACTTCGATGGTTGGGTCTTTTTTGTAGCTTATTTTTTTCATGGTCTCTGACTGTATTCAATACACATTTCCCGAAAACAGTTGCTAGATAATCTGAGTGCATCAGTCTGAAGAAAGGAGGACTACACATCTCTATTTCAGATTTGGTCTTTGTGATTCATTCTTAATATGTAAAACATCTGATGGCAAAATAAGGAAGTCTACAGGATACCAGCTGTGCAAGCATATTGCCTCAGTGTGTAAATAGCAGAGATTTTAGAACTTAATTTGAGATTTGAGAATTTATGATTACATTATGTTTACTAAATTCTTAATTAGTGAAAAATAATCCAAATGTTGACTGTGTTGGTGAATCTTATTTTAATGTCCAGTTTTGCTTTGTTTTTTTCATTCTAGATAAACTTGCTTTGGAAGGAATAGTGGTGCAACGTGCTGAATGCAGACCTGCAGCTAGTGAAAATTATATGAAACTCAAAAGGTAGGAGTGCTGTATGACAAATGGATATGTGATATCTGACTTGGATGCTTTTATTATTGCCTTACTAGCGATGGATGACTTAAGTATTACCGTGGTCTTACATAGGATTTATACAAGGTCAGAATCATTCTTGCTTTTGGGGTGAATTTGTGGTAGGGAGCGTATGGAAGCTGAAATGGGGCTTACACCTCCCTCTGGTATTATCTGGTGGGGTGATATAGTGTTCTGCGTTCCATCATGTGCAAAGCTCTTAGGAGAGCACACATTGTGCCTCTTAATACCTGAACGTGTGAATGTATAGCTATATTCAAACATGATTGAAGCTGAATTTCCTGAGGACTTAAAGGTTTGCATTGGTCTGGTCAGGACATGCTTCTTGAGTAGTATGGGTTTCTGTGTGGATTATCCAAATCTAATTCTACTTAATATTGTGCTATACTAGACGAAAAGCACCTCTGGAAATATATTTAAAATGCCCAAAATAGGAAAGAATTTGGGGAGAAATGCTAGACCTAAACTGGCATGCTTGCTAGAAAAGGTAATGGCTGAATATGTCAGAAGTGGGATGGAAATCACAAGACATACATTTAACAGAATCACTTAGTGACTTTTGAAAATTTAATCTGATACATCCAGAATTTACTGTGTGATTCATATATCATATGGATAATGAACTTGATGATGTTCTCTAGTAATGTATCAGATTTGGAATTTAATTGTGCATTGTATTAAATACATATATAAATATTTTAAGCATGTGGGTTTTCATTAAATCACCCTTTTATATTGTGAGTTTGTTGTAAATAGAGAAATATAAGGCACGGTATTTCAGGAAGAGAATTGTCCTTGACTAGTTTATGAGTAGAATCGTCAAAAGAAATGCAGAAAAGGCAAAGTGATGTTTTCCCCAGTTTCTAATCTGTTTTTTGTGGATCATATACTACTTTTACAGTATCTTAGGTTTTATTAACCTCCTCTGTCATCTAAACTCCTCCAGTGTTTCCTTTTTTCATCTATTCAATTCAGAGACTTTATGTTCTAGCTGTTGGCAAATCAGTACCGTAAGTTTGCTCAGGTACAGTGAACTACTTCATTTCAGACTGAGCTCTGTGACTGCTATAATGATTTTTGTCATCAGTGTGAAATGGAGTATGAAGCAAATGTGATATTACTAGGAAAAGGCTCGTTTCAATCTGTCAATTTTAAATATATACAAATATAGTCTGTGGGATGTATTTGCTTCATAATTGTTTTAATCACAGGTTGCCTGATCCAAGTGCTTGTTTGCCTTTTGTAGTTTTCTATTAGTTGATCAGATAAACTTCTCCTGGTAAGGCCACAGCAGGAGACCAAAACAAAACTGATAGCTTTAATGACATGCTACCCAAACTTTGATTTTTTTCAGCATTCTTTCTGTCACACACACATGCATGCAGCCCCTTCTGGTCTTTGATTTTGTCATGTTCAACTCCTGCAGGAGCAACAAAGATACAGACATGAAAGCAGCTTTTGTGTTTGGAAGCAGTGGCAGCTGAAAACTGATGCTACTGTTGTTTTTTCTTTACTGTAGGAAAATTGTCAGGCTGTGTATGACTAGTTTCTAACATTCCATATTGTTAAAGATTTTTTTGCCTTCTTCCAAAAAGTTGGGTTTTTTTTAATCTTCTCTGGTGGGAATCGGCATGAGATTTAGCAGATCCAGCAGTCACAGCCTCAGAAGAAACTGGTTTATGTCCAAATACCATCTCTGGTATTTGAGTGGTAGGATCTAACTCTTCTTTTCATTCCCTTTACTCTCTCCCACCCTCAACATGCCACAGTCTGTATTTGTGCTTTAAAAAAAAAAGTGACAGCACTGAAGATAAACCATGTAAATTATAGAACTGTGTCATATTAAACCATTTTTATTCACTTTTCTATTTACTGTTGTGCTTTACATGAGAGAGACTCTTCAAAGGTGGAATTGGTAATATTGATTAAACAGCTAGTCTGTTGTGTAGGCTTTAAGTGCTACAGTAGTAAGTTGAGTTGGGTAGGAAATAAAATCAACAGATAAATGCAGTTGCTTCAAACTTCGAAGATCTAGAAAATGAAGTTAAGCTGCACAGTCCAATAACTGTAATCATTTGTCTTCTGAGAGCGGGCAGTGACCAAAAGGGATTATATACCTCCCTGGTATTAAATGCAGATATGGATCCTGTCTGTTTTACCATTTGCGTCTGGGCCAAGGAAATCAGCTAATGGGTGCGTGGTGTGGCATTTGCTTTCCATGCTGCTCTGTAGAGTTTCAGTGAGAGGACAAAGTGATGGTCTTGTGATGGGGCTGCCAGCCGTTAGGTGGGAGATATGTGTGACGTGTGGGTTTAAGGGTGGGTAATGAAAGTACAGGATGTGGTGACGCATATGGGTGAAAGCGTTATCAAATGTAGCAGACGGGAGGGGTTTCTCCCAGGGAGCAGCTTTTTATTTGATTACAGGAGGGCATAGATGGCTGATGTAGAACACTTTGAATACAAGGCATAAATGTGTGCCTACGGGTAATTAGTCAGAAAGGTAAAACAAAAGTGGTGTGACCTTCACTTGGTATTTTCCATTTTGGAAGTTTTGTTGTGGGTTTATTTATCTTCCATTTTCCTGAACTTCAAGTCATGTGAGGGGAATAAATACTATGAAACACCTGCTATCCTGCACTGCTAAAGCTCCATGCTATTGAATTTCCTAGAATTTTTTTATTAACAATGCATTTGTTCTTTGTAGCACCTTAATGAATAGTTATACATTCGCCGTTGCTGCTGGTGATGCTGTTGCAGCTAGCTGGAAAATAATGCGTGGTTTCCAAGCACCTGTCCTAATTTGTGTCTTGTAGGAGTGGATCTCATGGTCCCACTTAAAAATACTTGGATCGTGTGGTGAAAAAAAATAGGCAGACTGCTCCCAGCTGCAGACTGTTTTACTATATGGTGGTCACAGGAAATACTGCTCCTACACTGCTGTTTCTGGTTGCTGCTTTCCCCATAGACCCATCAAGCCTGGCAGATGAAGGAAGATGGTGGCATGTGAACTGTTGTAGCAGAGGGTGTGTATCACAGATGGGGTTACATGCATGGCTCGTTGTACAGTGCATACTGTATTTGCACCAGTCTTGTGCCCTCACCATCCATGTCACCTTAGGGGGACAGCCTTTCCCTTCTGCCAGCCTGCCCTAGGCAGGCTCCATGGACACCACAGCCAGTCCCACCTGAACCAGACTATTTTCTTCATCTTACTTTCATCAGCTTTTCACCATGAGGAGGCATTATCTGTCAATTAATTTTGTTTTTCTGAGACTCAAGAGACTTTTGTGTCCATTACCTTCATTCCATGATGCCAGTGTTTAACCACCTTGGGGTTAATGACTTCCCAAAGAGAGAGGTCTACCAAGACGCTTGTCTGCACTGAGAAGGGAGAGAGGAGTCCCCCAGGCATTCAGGATTGTCTCTGGCTCCAGGTGACTTCAGAGAAGATGAGAATAAGATTTTGATACTCCCAAGGGGCTTTTGCTATGCACAGAAGAAGGAAAATGGGGGCCTGGTATGCACCCCATCTGAGTTTCTCTCTGCCAAATTACCTGTTTCCATCCTTGTGCTGGTCCTCATGTCTGTTCTGTTCATCTCTCTGACCATAGCCAACCCTCTTCTTCCCCAATTCTTTCTCAGTCCCCCTTTCCCATTTCTGTTTACTTCTGTTTCTTCATTTTCTCACAGAAGGAATTTTATTTTCAAAAATAGTTTGGACACATCAATATCGTGGACACTGAAACTACATTTTGTTTTGGGGAAAAGCTGAGAAGGAAAAAAAAGAAATCTCTGGGAGTGACTTCTGCAAAGCTCCAATTTAAACTGACATTGTCAAGTGGAGTAGGTACAACAAGGTCTCTAGGACTGCTCACTTCCTTTGCAATGGGGTAGTCAGGCACCAGGCTTGCAGTTCTTTGGGGGGTTTTGAAGGCACATGCAAAGTGCAGATCGAGCAGTTGCTGATGCTGTGTTTGATAGTGGATGGCAGACAAAAACTGGGATAAAAGCAGAGCTCTTGTTTCGTTCTCAAATGTGCTGGTGAAATGCTGGTGGCCTTTCAAAATGGGTATTTGGAGACTCCGATTCAACTCTACATAATCTGAATTACTGAACTCTCCCAAGCTGTACACCAAATTAAAACAAAAAGGAGTCCCAGGATTTCAGAAAGCCTCGAAGAGCTGACATTTCACGCTGCAGTGAGGCTGGTAATTCCCAAAATGTTCTTAAGTAACTTAAAAATACATCTTGAAGTACAGTTAAGTGACAATGATAGTTGCCAATATGGAAGCTTGTAACAAGGCTGCAAGAATTTTGTATATTTTCTGTTTGTTTTTTTTCCTTTAAGAGTTTTCTACAGAGAATGTGATGAAAGACTTTAGGAAAAGCTACTGGAAGAAACATGCATGATAGGCTTTTAGGAGAAGTGGGTTGCAAAATGTTCTAGAGCTATTAATGAAATTCCATGTTTGAGAACTCACAGTTTTTTACAACCATGTTATAGAGGCCACTAGAAGTCCTGACATTGTTAGTCTAGGCCAAGCAAGTGAAATTTAATTGGGCCAGATGAGTTGCTCGTCTTACCTAAAATACAGTGAGAGTATTGACTGGCAGCTCAGTATATTGCTGGAAATGAGCATCATGCAGGGTTTTTTTTTCACCAAATACCCCCTACTAGCAAAGGAAAATGAACAATTTGACCAACATACCACTTCACATATATTCTTATAGGTATGCTTCTCTGGCTATGAATTCCGTTTCAAAATAATGTATGCATATATTTGTGCATTTGCTGCAGAAGCTGACACACTGCTCAAGTGCTATTCAGTTTGTTTGACTTTGGAGGCCATTTTTTACACAACGCTGAGATTGCATCTGCCTGTCAGTCAATGCAGCCTTGATTTGTCAAGTATCGAAGACCAGTTTCTTTCTCTTGAAGTAAGATTC